TTTCTAGCTTTTCCACTTGGTTCATTATATAGTTTCCATCTTTTGCTGAAATTCTCTGTTTACCCATGTTGTTCAACATCTGGCCCATCACTGAGTTTCTGTTATGTTTTTTCTTTCCTGACCAGGGGTCATATTTTTGWTTCTTTGTATGTCTCAATTTAGAGTATGGTTATGTAAAAGAATAGTAATTTGCTTCCATAAAAAATAGCTCCTTCTTCAAATTATCTCTGTAAAAGCAGTTCCTTTTTCAACCTTCAGTAGTTGCCAGGGGAATGAAGGTAGAGGACGATGTACTTGAGCTGGGTTGAGAGATGTTGTTATGTTAGTTAGAGTGAACTCATGAATAGCCTAAAATGATTGTAGGATGGAATCAGAATTACCTTCAGGAGAAGTTGGAATCCTGAGCACTGTTGAAATCACAGTTTTGGGGGGTTTTGTTTGTTTGTTTTGGTATTAGAGATTAAACTCAAGCCACTCAACCACTGAGCCACATCCTCAGCCCTATTTTGTATTTTATTTAGAGACAGAGTCTCATTGAGTTGCTTAGTGCCTTGCTTTTGCTGAGGCTGGCTTCAAACTAGCGATCCTCTTGCCTCAGCCTCCTGARCTGATRGAATTATAGGCATGCGCCACTGCGCCCAGCAAAACCACAGTTTTGAGCTTTACCATATAACTGCTAGCTCTCTGAATTGTGAGAGACCTACACCCCCTTCCTCCCATCTTCCTCTCCTCCCTCCACATTCTTGCTACCAACTGAGGAGTTGTCTTTGCTCCCCAGTAGCACCATCAGTTTTATGTGTCTTGGGGAGATCTTTGCCTCTTATCCTGACTTTGCCTTCTGAAAGCTACTGCCTTGTGCACAATAAAAACCTGAATAGCCATAGAGGAAATTTTATCAGTTCTCTTATTATGCTCTCAGCCTGTGGCAGCCCCAGCCTTATACTTTGTAAAGGTCTCTAGTGCCTCAAAGGGATTTTTAACAATTTTCCAGTCCTGCCTTCATCCTTCAGCAGGCACCATCCACCTCAGGGGGGGGGGGTCATTCTATGCTCTTTCTCTGCTCCCTGTCTCCAAACTCCTACACCTATTTACTCACTAAAGGCCCATGGGAAAGAGTTGGCAAGTAAGTACAGCTTTGATCAGTAGCTGACGTTCCTCAGGATTCTTAACTGTCATTCCAGCCCACATGCAATCAATAAGTTTAGCTGATTTTTCTTTAACTGCAAGCCACATTCTTGCCTCAGGACATATGACTTGTGTCCTCTTCCAACTTGTTCTTTTGCCAGGCAGTCCCATGATATATCCTCTGCTGAGTATCACCTTATCAGGCCTCTTTTCCACTCTATATTAAAGACAGTTCCTCCCTCCCCTCACTCYCCTAGTTCCCTTTCTCTCTTACCTAGCTTTATTTTTCTCCAAAGCACTTTCACCACCTTATCAAATTGTTTATTATCTGTCTTCCTGTAATCAGAATGTAAGCTCAATGAGAGCATAGCCTTCTGTTCATCCTCTGCTGGATACCCACTGCTCAGAACTGAAACTAACACACAGTAACACACAATAAATAGTTATTGGACAAAAAAATAAATAAATAGCAGGGGAAAAATCAATGGAAATATAGTTATTGGACAGAACTGGGAAGCTTGGGTTTGAACCTTGATTCTGGGTCCACAAAATCTTTCCCAAGTGTCCTCTTCTGCTTACTAGACTTCCCTGTTCCACCCCACCTCTCATAGCCACCCTAGAGGAAAATTAACATATAGATTCATCTGGCTTTTCATGATCTATTAATAAGATCTCATCTTATTAATGTTCTCATATATGTTCTTTTAACTATACCATGTGATAGCAGAGACCAAAATGTTTGTAAATCCTGAATTAAGAAAATCACTTTAGGGGCTTGGGAATATAGCTTAGTGGTAGAGGATCACCTCACGTGCATGGGGTCCTGGGTTGCATCCCCAGCACAGAAAGAAATAAAATATCACTTTAATGTGAAAAACTACAATTAAATATTTTATTGTGAAGTCTTCCCTCAACACCTCTGACTAGTCCTTACTATAAATATAGAAAGGAAAATGCTGAAATAGGAGAAAARTCTTAGAAGGAATTAAAATGTGTTATATATTTCTAAAAACAGACATGCCTTAACAAGTATTAAATAGCAAAACCTTAATGGTAACAAGGAATAGATATATTCCAATATATTTTGTTTCAAGTGAATTAAAATGTAAGCAACAACTTGACTCCTGTTTGTAACAATTACAGAAGATAAAACTAAAATCTAAAAATTGTTAGGAAAAATCTCAGAAAATATTATTACTTATTTATAACGGGCACAATGTTGGGGATTGGGCCCACGGCCTCTTGCATGCTAGGCAGTACTTCAAATTTTAAGCATTGTTTCATTCCCCACATCTGAAAGGTTTCATGTAAAACACTGTTTTATAATTCACCAAAAATAAATGCCAATTCCTAAACATGAACTGAAATTGACAGGAGAAACTCTAAGTGTTGTTACAGCCGTGAGTATGAATGCTGATCTAATCATATGTTTTCACTAATTTCTTTTCACTTCAACTTTGTAAGAGAGGAATGAAAAAGGTTAGGCATGCCTACTCTGTTCTACAACATCTAGCCCAATGCCAAAAAACCAAAATACAAATCATTCACAACTGCTCAACCTTAAAGGCTAAATAAAGAAAAATAACTTTCTTTTTTTGGTACCAGGGATTAAACCCACAGGCGCTTAACCACTGAGCAACATCCCCAGCCCTTTTTGTTTTTTATTTTGAGACAAGGTCTTGCTAGGTTGCTGAGGCTGGCTTTGAACTTGTGATCCTCCTGCCTCAGCCTCTCRAAATGGTGGGATTATAGGCATGTGCCACTGCACCTGCTAAGAAAACTAACTTCTTAAACATATATGGCACATTAGAGAACATATGATGCATTATACATTACAGAACAATCCAATAATCACATAAGCAGGTTCTAAAACAAACCACTTGATTTTGAARCCTGGCTCAATTATCAGCTGAGTGATCTTGGCAAGTTACTTTAACTCTGTCTCAGTTTCCTCATCTCTAAAATGGAGAAATGGCATCTTSTTCCCAGGGCTGCTACAGTTTGAGACATATAAAACACTTAAAAAATGTCTCACACAAAGAATATACACAAATATTGTCATTATTACTGAGGCAGTAGAAACAAATGAAATTTTCACTAATAAGTAGAATTCCAAAATTAATGTGCAAAATCATTTATATCAACTGTTAAAGTGGTACATTTAGATTCAAGCATTTAATGAAGTAAATATACTCAAACAGTTTCAGGGACCACATAGGCAGCCTCTTCATCTCTCTCCCTCCAGTACTAACCATTTCCCACCACAGAAGCCTATGCATTTTATCAATTTAATCCCTTCTGTGAGTTAGATTCTTCATGCTTAAAAATATACAGAAAGCAAAGCATTTCCAAGTTCAACAAAGCAACCGCTAGTACAAAAGTACTGTAGAACATTTTTATGGTAGAATACCTAAAGCTCTAAAATCCACAATAGTGAGTGAAGTAGACTGTGGGTCATATGGGAGGACTGGAAAAATAAAAGGAAAATAGAAACAGGAGGAATGTGAGACTTCACAAAGCTGGAAAAATTCAATTCCTAGATATTCTTCCTTTCTCCTTGTTTATGATTGCATGAGATTTTCTCACATACCACATAGAAGTAAATTGATACAATATTTTAAATGCTTAGATTTCTATAAATTMACTTTCTGAAACTCTTGCCAGCTCCATTAATTCAAAAGAAACACAAAATGAAGATGTCATTACTGTTATTTGTGGGTGATGTTTTTTCCTGCTATCAACAGGCCACACTTGGGAGTTGTTTCTCCAGAGTCAAGGAGAGGTACAGACTATCACTTTCTTTTACTAACACCCCTCTTAGTTATGGAAAAAAATAAAATAAATAAAAAGGTCAGCTAGGGAAGGCCAACTGTGCTTGGGCAGTACCCTGCATCTCAGCTTATCAGCACTTCCACTAACCCTTGCAGATAAAAAGCAAATCTCCACCTAATCACTCATGATAAAAGAAAAGGGAAAAACTGTAAAACTGTTTCTTAAAATTAGGCATTTTTCTATTACCAATCCCCTTAAATATCCTACATCAAGGGCGTGTCCCCAAGAAGGAGGTCTAGTTCCTCTCTTCTTTTACACCACTTGGAGACCTCTGGCACGACCTCTGGCAATTCCCTGAAGCTTAGGCTTTCAAAAGAGCTTACTGTAGACAGGTGGTATGCCCACGATCTCTCAAGTTTATTGAGCAAAGGTAAAGACTTAAGACGTTTACAATGTGCTAATTATGGATTAATTAAATCCCTTAGTGAGGGTGCTGCACCCAGGGGGGAAAAAAAAAGCCTCCAGCTCAAAGTCCCCCCCCYYTTTTTTTTTTTTTTACAAAACCACAAGGGTTTCTCCAAAACTATAAATTTCCACATGCTAGAAAATCTATCAGAACGATAAATCTGAAAGAAATGCATATTATATGCCATTTATATAACTGCATAAAAATAAGACTAGAAGTACATAGCTTGCAATGTAAATAGAAACATATATAACATTCATATAGATTCTTTTTTTTTTTTTTTTAACCACACCCTCTCTGTGTGGCTTCCCGGGCTCGCTCGGGCCAAATAACGTCACGCCGGCGGGCCACCGGGTGGGGGTCCGGGATGTGACCCAGACACCCAACGGCAGAGAACACAGCATCGCGGTCGCCCCTGGCAGACAGGCGCTCGGCACCCCAGGTCTCCCCCTCCCCGGGCCCGCCCAGCCCTGCCCTGCCCTGCCCTGCCCTGCCCTTCCCAGCAGTCCCGCAGGCCGCGGCCCAGCCTCTTCGCAACCCCGGCACCGCCCGCCCGAGCCTAGCGGGCGGCGGCGCGAGGACCCGGCCGGGGCGGGGAAGGGCGAGGCTGCCAGGCCCACGCGGGACCCAGACTCACCATGGCCGAACGACCGCGAGCGCGCCCACAGCCCGGAGTCACACGRCGCCGGCGACGCCCGTTGTCCTGGTGACGCCAGCCCGGCGCCCCGCCCCATCCTCAAGGTGGGCTCCGAGGCGGCCATTGGCGTCCGGCGAGCACGTGACCCACAGGGGCGTTGCCCTTCGGACCGCCCACCTCGCCCCCCACGCCACTCTTCCTCTCCCACTTTGCATCTGGTGCATCTTTGGCCGGATCACCTGGACGCCCCTCACCTGACAGGTGACCCAGACGCAGACTGCCCAGCTGAAAGAGACCTTCGTGGATTTTCCTTCTTTAAAAAAACGAATTATAAAGGTAACATGACTATTGAGGACATTTAAAATTACCAATAACAATTAAAAATAATAAAACCACACTATACGCCAAAATCTGAGGTAGCCACCGTTCATTTTCCAGTCTGTCTGCTTCTAAGCTTACCATAAAAATATATCATGTTTTATTCTTTAAAAGTGGTGGCAAACCATATAGACTATGTTATAATCKATTCAGTTTCAAATTATTATCTTAAACTAGTTGCAGTGGCTATACCTGTAGTCCTAGCTACTCAGGTGGCTGAGGCAGGAGGATCCCTTGAGCCCAGAAATATGAGGAGGCAACACGGCAAGATCTTCATCTCAAAACAAAACATGAAATCTTGGATACAAATTAATGGAATGGCACTGTGGCTATCCTCTAATTTATTAAATCAGCCAGTAACTTTTTGGATTTTTTAGTATTTAGTTTTTCAAAAAAACTAAGTTTAAGAACTTAAGCTGTTCTTAAATTCAGCTCATTAACTCTATGAGGAAGGAACATTCAGTAGCTAACCTGACATCTCTCCTCCTATGCATTACAATCTTAATGCAGTCCAAATAAACCTCCCCAGTCTTCCCTACCCCAGGAAATGTTTCTACTATTCACAGTGTTGATCTGTTGGTTAGGACAAAAACCTGAGAATAATTCTTAATTTTTCTCTTTGTCCTCATACCTCACTTCCAGTCCATTAACAATTTATTTTTGTTTGGTTATCAGTGCTGGGGATCAAACCCAGRGCCTCCCACATCCTAGGCAAGAGCTCTCCCACTGAGCCACATTTCCAGGTCTATTCTTGATTCTACCTTAAAATAAATCCTAAATCTATCCATTTCTCACCTTCACCACCCACCACCATCTCTTGCCTAAATCTGTCTCTGTGTACTATGCTTTGAATGTTTGTGTCATTTCCAAAATTCATGTTAAAACTTAATCTCCAGTACAACAGTATTAAGAGATGACCTTTAGGAGATGATTAGACCATGAAGGCTCTGCTCTCCAGGATGGGATTAGAACCCTTATAAAAGGACTTGAGAGAATTATTTCATTCCCTTTGTGCCCTTCCACCTATTTTGCCTTGTGAGGACACAATGTTGTCCCCACTGGAACATGCAGCAACAAAGGCTTCATCTTGAGAGCAGAGAGCAGCCCTCACCAGACACAAAACTGACAGTGCCTTGTTCTTGGATTTCCCRAGCTCCAGAACTGTCAGCAACAAATTTCTATTTTTATAAATGACCCAATCTGTGGTATTTTGTCATAACAACACAAATTGACTAAGATATTGTGCTGCTGATCTTCCCTTCAACAGTATGCACAACAGCGTTGTTGTTGTAACATCCCATGTTATTTAGAAAAAACAAAGCAAATGCTTCAAAWGGTCTGCAAGATCCTACATGATAAAAGTCTTGTTCATTGCACTCACCCCATTTCTTATTACTCTTGCCTCATTCACACCTCACTAGCACACTTTATTTCTTGAGGTTCCTTTTATCATGCCAGATGCCATTCTACTGAAGAGCCTCAGCAACTGCTTCCTTTACTTGGGATATTCTTCCTGCCGTACTATACACAGCCCCTTCCTCCACTTGACCCAGCTCAGTTATCTCCTCCAATATCATCTTCACAGAAACCTTGATTGTTCTTCTAAAATATCTTTCTGCAGTCACTTTCACTTCAATCAAGCTGTCTCATCTAACCCTATCTTGTTTTYAGAATACTTAGTCATGGGTCTGGGAGTATAGCTTAGTGAGAGTGCTTACTTAGCATACATGAGTTCCTGGGTTTAATCCCTAGCACCAAAAAAAAAAAACCAAAAAACAACTTTTTAGTTGAGCATTGTAGCAGAGATCACTTGAACCCAGGAATTCAAGACCAATATAGATTTAGTCTCAAAAAGAAAGAAAAATAATAATTTATTAATGAGTATATTACTTGGATAGGTATTATTATGATTTCAATAATTTTTATATTCAGCAATTAAAGTTTACTTACCATTGGAGTTGCCGCAGAGTTCTGTCTCAAGTGTGGTCACACCAGGATGATTCCTTGCTTCTTCCTCGGTAGCCAGTTTGAACACAGTGGATCTAAAGTTGTAGCATTTCATTGAGGTGGAAACTCAGAAGCAGCGCTTCCAGCAGCTGGTGCACCAGATGACTGGACTTTGTTGGGAGAAATGCATGGACAAGCCCGGGCCAAAGTTGGACCGTCGGTCGGAGGCCTGTTTTTAGAATTGTGTTGAACGCTTCATTGATTTGAGCCAATTCATCTTGAATCGACTGGAACAGACCCAGAAATCCAAGCCAGTCTTCTCAGAAAGCTTTTCTGACTGATCTCAGCATTACCTTTTKGGAAAAAGAAGGTAGTTCAAGAAAGGAAGAGCTGTTGATGGGATAGTTGAAGAATTGACTATGGGGCATTGTCCCCCACTCCCCCACCCCCCGCCTTTGGTCACTTGTGGGACATCGTGTCATCTGAGAATAAACAAAGACCAATTGTTTTGTGTGGGGTTTGAGGGTCATAAGTGTATTTGGTTCTGTTTTTTACTGTTAATCTTGTAAAAATAATTGACAGAAAACCATTAGCTGCATATTACTGAATATAAGACTGCTTTTTCTCAAGGTCTCCTTAACAGCTATAATTTTGATAGTGGAATTGCTTTCTATAACTTGATGTTGGGATCTCATAAGTAAAATCTCTATTTGTGTGAATTTATTTCATATTTTTAGGGAGATCTTTGTGTCTGAAAAGAGGGCAGTGGGAGAGTGTGATTTGGTACTTAATTTGGCCTCCTTGTCTAGTTTTTGACTACCAGTGCTGGGAAAAAAAAAATCTTTGGAGTGTTTATACAGTACACTTCAGCTTTCTAGGTTGTGTCCCTCCCCTTTACTATGATTTACTTAAAAATATCTATATTAAAATATGGTCTCAAGGTAGTACAGGCAGCCTGAGAATCTAGAAGCCTTAGTTATAAAGGAATCTGACCAGTAAACATGATTCTCATTACTAGACGACCACAGGAAGAAGTAAACCTATAGGAAGAAGTAAACTTGTACTGTACATCAGGGTAAAAAAAAAAATTCAAAGATGGTGCCTAAAGAAATTATATCATTTAGCTCTGTCAGAAACTAATAGCAGTTTTAAGTAGAGATGCATGCCTGATGTTAATCATTATAGATTTAATTTACTGCATTCTTTTGACAATTAAAATAAAAAGTTTCTACTCTKAAAAAATAATGTACTTATTATAATTCTGCTGGATCTGTTTTGCTACTATTAATATTTTTATATTTAAAAAATTAGGATTTTTGTGTCTATGTAAGTGAGGTTGCCATCTATCTTAGTGGTTTCGTTTATTTGTTCATTTGTTTTACTATGGAGTTAGCCTTTCAGGCTGCTACAACAAAATACCACAGGCTGTATAGTTTATAAATAACAGAAATGTATTTCTCACACTTCTGGAGGCCTGGTTCAAAGGTGGATCTTTTCACTGTGTTCTCATATGGTGGAAGGTACTTGCTAGCTTTCTGGAGTGTATTTTTCTCAGGACACTAATACCATTTGTAAGGGTTYTGCTCTCGTTATCTAATCACCTCCCAGGGCTCCTCTCTTTTTAAATATTTTTTTTAGTTATACATGGACACAATATCTTTATTTTTTTAATTATTATTTTTTTAATGTGGTGCTGAGGATCAAACTCAAGGTTTCTCATGTGTGAGGCGAGCGCTCTACCGCTGAGCCACAGCCCCAGTCCCAAGGCTCCACCTCTTAATGCCGTTGTTTTAGGTTAGGTTTCAACACATGAATTGGGATATGGACACACATATTTGCTATGTATATTCAATATCTGTGATAAGATTTTCCCAACCTCATAAAATAAGTTAAATATATGATATAATAAAAAAATTTTTTTGTTCTTTGTCCCCAATTCCTGACACAAGGCTCAAACCCTTGGGATTTGCTGAGTAACAGGGGAGTCTTTTGTTATTCATAAGGTGCCATTTTTTTATCACATCCAAGTTTATGCCTATGAATGACTTAGGGTGGAGATCCTAGAAGACCTCAGGATGGGGCTAGCTAACCCAGAAAGACCAAGAGATAAGACGAYTGGAACTTTTAGCCCTACCTTCCAACCTCCAGCAAACTGGTGGGGAGGAAGACAGAGATTATTCTTTATAAAAACTTCRGAACAACTAGATTTAATGAGATCCAGGCAGACACATGGAGGTGTTGGGACTGTGATGCATGTGGAGAGGGCACAGAAGCTTCTCACAACTCACATACATTTGCTTAGGCACCTCTCCTTATCAGCTGCTTCTCAGTTGTATTCTTTATAATAAACTGGGGAATGTAAGTCAAATGTTATCCTGAGTTCTGCTAGAAGCATTCAAGAAAAGTATCATACTTGACAAAAAGTTTGTAGAATAACCTTACTTGTAGCCAGTTGGTCAAGAATAGAGAAGGCCCAGTCTTGCATTTGGCAATCTGAAGTCAAAGACAGTCTTTTWTTATTATTATTTATTTTTATTTTTAGTTGTAGTTGGACACAGTAACTTTATTTTACTTATTTATTTTTATGTGGTGCTGAGGATCGAACCCAGGGCCTTGCACATTGCTAGGCGAGCGCTCTCTATCACTGAGCCACAACCCCAGCCCTGTGAAGTCAGAGACAGTCTTGTGGGACTGAGCCCTTAATTTTTGGAATCTGATGCCAACT